TGCCATTAGGGTTGTCATTTTTTCAGCCTTCAGACTCTCAGACGCAGACGATATGAAGCAGGCCTCTCATTCATCTATCGCTACTTTCATGGAAAGTGCTCAGACGAACTATATTCCTTGCTTCTACCAGTTCTTCACGGCTGGGACGCGTCATGCTATGCATATTGAACCACCCACATTCCCTCCCGTGACCCATTTGGTGAGAAGCAAGGTCCATTAAAATAGCTTTCTCCGGCGAACTACTGCTCTGTAGAACTGCCCCCAAAGAAGATGTTTTCTCGATCATTACGTAATCTTAACCTGTTCAAGTTTAGGTTTTACTCTTCTGTTCCCCACCTATCCGCATAAAGTATGCCTCTTACTTTGTAAGAAAAATAGAATAGAATAAGTTAGGTTAGGAAAAAAAAATGACATAAAAAAGAAAGAAAAGAAGAAGGAATGATAGAAAAAAGAAAGAAAGGAAGAAGGAATGACAGAAAAAAGAAAGAAAGGAAGAAGGAATGACAGAAAAAGAAAAAAAAGAAGAAGGAATGACAGAAAAAAGAAAGGAAGAAGGAATGACAGAAAAAAGAAAGGCAGAAGGAATGACAGAAAAAAGAAAGAAAAGAGGAAGGAATGACAGAAAAAAGAAAGAAAAGAAGAAGGAATGACAGAAAAAAGAAAAAGAAGAAGGAATGACAGAAAAAGAAAGAAAGGCAGAAGGAATGACAGAAAAAAGAAAGGAAGAAGGAATGACAGAAAAAAGAAAGAAAAGAAGAAGGAATGACAGAAAAAAGAAAGGAAGAAGGAATGACAGAAAAAAGAAAAAGAAGAAGGAATGACAGAAAAAGAAAGAAAGGAAGAAGGAATGACAGAAAAAAGTAAGGAAGAAGGAATGACAGAAAAAAGAAAGAAAAGTAGAAGGAATGACAGAAAAAGAAAGAAAGGCAGAAGGAATGACAGAAAAACGAAAGAAAGGAAGAAGGAATGACAGAAAAAAGAAAGAAAGAAAAGAAGGAATGACAGAAAAAGAAAGAAAGGCAGAAGGAATGACAGAAAAAAGAAAGAAAAGTAGAAGGAATGACAGAAAAAGAAAGAAAGGCAGAAGGAATGACAGAAAAAATAAAGAAAGAAAAGAAGGAATGACAGAAAAAAGAAAGAAAGGAAGAAGGAATGACAGAAAAAAGAAAGAAAGGAAGAAGGAATGACAGAAAAAAGAAAGAAAGGAAGAAGGAATGACAGAAAAAAAGAAGGAAAGACAGAAAAAGAAAGAACCCCAGAAAAAAGAAGAAAGAAAGCAAAGAAAGAAGAAAAAATAAAAGAATGAAGAAAAAAAGTAATGCAGAACGAAAGAAAAAAGAAAGAAAAATAAAAAATAAAAGAAAGTGTGGCGATAAAGCACTGAATCAATCTTGCGCCAGACACTTCCGTAATGCCTCTTGAGCAATGGTTATCACATCCGGTTTTGATGGCTCTGTGTAATGCCTGTGCATGCAAACAGACAGAATAATTCGCGGGGAGGAGGGGGCAGATGAAAACTTATTGGATAGACGAACTTCCCAAATCGTGACAAACTTGACCCACATATCAGACTTTATTTTGGAAAGCCTTCTAGATTGGGCCGGGCACATTTCAGCGCACAAACATCATATACCAAATTTATTTCATTGGTTTTTTGACGCATTTATCGAGTCAGAATGAAATGATCATATTATCACGTTACGACCCTTTAACCAATTATGGCCAAAGTGTAAGCAGGGGTACTCTAGCCATATCCTCAACTGCGTGTTAAGGGCAAGATAGTCTGCACATCTTCAGGCTGGTGTTCAATTCAAAGTTTTACCTCTCATACACTGGTTGTCATTTCAGGATAAGAGGCCCGTGTTTTTTAACCAGTAGTTGGTGGGGATAGAATAAATTGATTCAAATCTTTCTCAAGGGTTTTTTTTATCTTGCGAAAGTAATGTGATAGGTCCTGATCTGACATCTCGTCTACAGTCACTTTCGCACAGACGTGCTGTGGCTTCCCGCTGTCTTTCTACAAATATTTTCATGACAACTGCTCTGACGAACTACTTTCACTGGTTGCCAAAACTGCATGAATTTAAGCGTGTTACTAGGTTGGCATCTCGGTCTCACGCTTTCACTGTCGAAACACATGAATGTAACTGCCCTTTCTACTCCAGTATCTTATTGTCTCGCCCTTCCCGACATTGGAACTCCCTTCCTCATATTTGCTTCCCTGATAGCTTTAATCTTCAAATATTCAAATGTAATGTCCATCGACATCTTCTCATGTCTTGACCTTGATCCCCGTCTTTCTCTTCATCCTTTTCCGAAACACTACTCTTTACTCTTACTCTCACTCTCTGTAAACCCTTGCGTGCTAGCGGTACTCCTTCCATGCTTGGGGTGAAATACAAAAAAAAAATTAAACGCAACGAAATCCCTTCGCAAATTTCTCTTTCAGAGTCACTAAAAATTACGCTACCCCAACATTAAATTATATAATAGAATTTGAATATTAAATACTACTATAATTTATCAAGTTAATTTACAGATTTCTTAGCTCTCTGTCTGTCTGTCTGTCTCTCTCTCTCTTACCAATTTCCGAAGGTTACCCAATAAACAATAGCAGATACCTTGTATGTTGCTCATCGCAGAAACACTACGCGATCGGCATTATTTCTGTTTAACAATTGATTATGGCCTTTTTCTTTTTTATCAGTTTAGCTGATGTTTCATTCGTAAAAAAATATATATATATATTTTTTTTTTCTTCGTCACCTCTTATTTTTGAATGTTTGTCTTTATTCATCCATCATATGCTACTTTCTATATATCTTGCCACTGCTGACGATATTCAAGATTTCCACCTTCTTGGTCCGTCTTCTATTCCTCAATCTCCTCTCCCTCCTCCTCCTCCTACTCACCTTCATAATCATCCTTACATCCTTCTTCTATTCTTTCCTATTAGGTTGCATTGTATTGATGCTACCAGTAATGTTATTATGAAACATGGAACATTCTTGTAAGCTGCTCAGTTCGAACAATAGCGACTGGACTGGTTGTTCAGTAATGAGTCAGACTGCGAAAGAGGTGAATGGATTTGATATATCATTGTCGCACTGTCATGCTTGTATACGAATACAATGATAAGACGCATTCTTTCCTTCACTTTCTGTCTTTCTTGCTCGATAACATATATGCAAATAAAGCAATAAGTCAATAATCATACGTAAAAATCAGTGTATGTGTGTGTGTGTGCCTGGGTGTTTGTGAATAGTAGAGAAAATCTAAATAGGGAGAAACAGAAAGAGAAAGAGTGAATATTTATTACCGTAACATAGATTTGTCATTCAGTGTTGTCCAAACAAAATGGGAAAAAAAAAATGAATCGTAGAAAAGAAGATAGACTTATTAATTCGAAACATTTCGAAAGCGTATTTTAATTTGGGAAGATGTAAGATCACAAAGTGACTTGGCGCAACATATTCGTTAAAAAAAGAAGTAGAATGTAAATTTGATTCCTGTTACTAATTCTTTTAAATGCTATTTCTTTATCGATTGGTTTCCAAGTCTTTGAGCAGAAATTTTCTTGAAAGAAAGGAGCGAGGTATCATAAGAGCATATAATAATTTATAAGGATGTTGGAGCAGAGAATAATTTGGAGCAACATATTCTTTATAAAAATTATTATAAGGCAAATTTGATTCCTTTTACAATTCTTTTACATGTAATTTTTATCTATTGATTGGTTCTCAGGTCTTTTAGCAGAGAATTTCGTGTAAGTAAATCACTCTGAAATCATAAATGCATACAGTAATTTTGGAAGATATAGGAACAGAAACTGATTTGGCGCAACATAATCTTTAAAAAAATTTATAAGACAAATTTTATTTCTCTTACACATTCTTTTAAATATTATTACATTTTGGATTTGTTTCCAAGTTTTTAAGTAAGGATCTTGGTGTAGGAAAAGCTGTCAGACATTCTGGAAGAATACGTTAATTTAGGAAGGTGAAAGAAGAAAAACTGAGTTGGCGCAACATATTCTTTTAAAAAAGCAATTATCAGGCAATTTTTATTCTTTTACCTGCTCTTTTAGATGGTTTTTCGTTATCGTTTATTCATATGTTTCCGAGTCTCTGAGAAGCAATTTTGCCACAAATCATGTTGGCTTAATCATAGCAGTAATAAAATTCTCTGCATAGTATTTGTTAAATAATAAATAAAACAGCTTCAACACTGATTCAATAAACGTATATGTAGGTTTTCAAAAAACACTGCCTATAATTTTTCCATTGGATCCATTCAAGAAGCCGTACTTGTGAAAGAGTTTATAATATATTAATGATTGCCAAAAAAAGCTATGGTTTCAGAATAGCAGCTAATGAGCAGGAATATGTAAGTACTTAGGTATATGCAACTAGAGAAAGGGGCAACCCTACTTTCAACAGATAAATTTGTATGTGTCATATTAATACAGAAAACGCAGGAGATGTACGCATTTACACAGGCAGTCCTGTGCAATTGGCATATTGTTTGACGCCTGCCTTTGTCAGTAGATGCTTTGTTCGCAGAATGCAATCAGTATTGGAAGAAAGATCGAAGATTTGCAGCGCTGTTTAATATTAGATTGTCATCTAGGTGGAAAATCTCTGGACGTATCGACTTGGGCTGACGAAAAGCTTTCACCTCTATTCTAGTTGCAGATGCAAGCAAGATTTGATGGCGAACGGGAAATAGGTGGCTTGCTAGATGGCGTATTGGCATAGTGTCTGCTTAGAATTATTTTTATCTTGCGTTGTCAGCAATAATTAGTTTAATATATGGAGGGGAATTCTTCAAATTATCCCGTTCAATACTGGTATTTCAGCTGCAACGATCATTATTTAATAGCAATTGAAAAATAAATAATATAAAATTACTGGTAAATGCTGAATCTTCCATAAACATACATTAAGAACAATTTTTGAAGTAAGATCATAAAGACCATGAGATAAATTATTCGTACTTCAATGTTTGAATCACTCTCTCTCTCTCACACACACACACACACAATCTATCTATCTATCTATCTATCTATCTATCTATCTATCTATCTATCTATCTATCTCACTGTCTTCATTAACTATCTCTCTCTCTCTCTCTCTCTCTCTCTCTCTCTCTATATATATATATATATATATATATAAGCAAGTGTAAATGGATATAAATCCGACAGAATGAAGAAATTTTGAAAAAACAAACAAAAATCCTTAAATGTAGTTAAATGAAAGAAATGTCGACGTCTGACGTTTCGGTTTATTAAACCTTTTTCAAGACAATATTCATCAAAATACAATTCAGTTCAATATGACAAATACGATGGACATAAAAACACAAGTCTTATTCAGAACAGATAACTGAATATATATATATATGCAATATTCAGTATATGAAGGAAGGGTAGATTTATAAATTTGCAAGATGGATTCCGTCGAGAAAAATTGTCTGATATATATATTATTATATATATATATATATATATATATATATATATATATATATGGGTGTGTGTGTGTGTGTCTATATTTATACATTCAAACACACACACACAAAGAGGGTCACAAAACAAACTCACATCTATCCAACCAAATATGTTAGCTCTATCTCTGATATTGGGCGCTTTTAATAAGTACCGCACATATAATATATAAATATAAATAATTATATATATATATATATATATATATATATATATATATATATATATATATATATATATATTATATATTTTCACACACACACACACACACACACACACACACACACACACACACACACACATATATATATGCATATATAGATTACATGGGTATATATATATATATATGCATATATAGATTACATGGGTCAGCTAAATGACGAATATTATTTGTATTAATCCCATATATATATATATATATATATATATATATATATATATATATATATATATATATATATATGAATGCCATTCTTTCTTCCTCGTTATTCGATATATTTTTTTTAGTTTTAGTGATGCATATTAGATTAAACATCCAGGTCCGCTAATATACTACAACTCACTATTAACAACTAGGTAAACAGTCTTCCGAATGTGTACCGGTTGATTGACTATCGAGTATTCAACCAGGATTTTACTATCGGATCGATAGTCGGTCAGTCCGGGCAAGATGAGGTGTAATTAGACGATGTGGGATCGATACAAAATGATTTACTTCTTTTTTGTGTAGTTTAGGTTTTTCACAAATGTTATTTTATTTATTTACTTTAGTAGGTTACATAGGATGTGATTTCTCAAACTATATATCCGTCTTTGGTATAGAAACAACTGTAAACCATTGAATTAAGAGCAATATCTATATAAAAGCTTTAACTACTTTCTTCGATTGTACCTGTTCTTTTTTTATCCTTCTTCATGTGCCATGTTCCCTCAGGTGGTAAGCGTTCATAACTCTTTACAATTTCCTGTCTTTCAACTCTTAATAAATTTTATCATTTTGTTATTTCTCTTAAACCTTGTTTTGTCATTCATTTACACAATCTCACAATGTTATGCCTTGTTATCCACTTATTTTCACTTTGAGTATCAGTTTTTCCAAGCCCTCTTTCCTCATTAGGCGCCCAAGAAATTTCAACCGTGCTTCAAACTTGGATGTGCCGGTGGTGTAATTGACCATGATTCGGAATTGTATATCAGCGAGCCGTGTTCTAATTCGATTTGGTTTAGTTATATTCACTTACGCAAAAATTCCCTCTGGAAACATATGAATCCGTTTCATCTCCCGCCCAGCTATGGCTTAATTAGCAAGAGTTATATCACTAAATCCAGCATTTGGCATTCCCAATGTGTCATCCACGTAGGTACTGACCAGGCTCGAAATTGCTTAACTTCAGTGATCGTACGGGAACAGGTGTTTCAACGTTATGTGGCTGTAAATCGGAAAATAAATAAATAAATTATATCATTTACATAATTCGCATTGTTGTCCTCATCTTTATGATCATATTTTCGACGTTTCGGCTATTGTATGCTCCGCACATCTTCAGGTGAAAACCCGAAAAAAAAACCCCAAAAAACCGGAAGAATATAGTGTAAATGGTTACAATACCTCATTTCAGAAATATATAAAAATAAGAGATTTCGTTTTAAAAAATGTTTATGACAGACAATTCGGAGTTTAGCCAGAGTTGTGAGGTGGGCTGAGTTAAACTAAAAGTGAATTTATTCAGATAAGGACAGTTAATTATACAACCGTCATCCCTTAATAATTGTTCACTAATTATTGAGATATCAGCACAGTTTAAGTTGCGATGTCTCCGAAAAATGAAAAAAAATAAGACATATTTTATTGATTTCATACCTCTTGTTGTTTTGTCCATTCAGTTGTTTAAGTAATTAACTTGAAAACTTGTTCTTCTAATATCTTTGCATTTGTGAAAACTTTTCCCATGCAAACTATTCATTTTTTTCTAATTTTATTGCATTTGTGA